TTCTTGGTCCGTCTAGCTGACGTTTATCCATTATAGGTGGGCTAACAGTCATCAAATCATTGGGGATCTCCCATTCGGATGGCTTTGGTAAAGGGTTTACTGATTCCTCATATGTTCTCCTCAATATTTCGGTATAATAAGCTTTTAATGCATACATCGAGCAATCTTGGTTATTGTTGACTGTCAGCACTCTTATGACATGACCACAAGGTATGTCGTCAACTTGTCAATGCCTACATGTACATGTCTTTTGTTGGAAATCAATAATGACGTTTTGTGTCCCCTTTTTGACCTCACATTTCTTACTTGAGATCATGAGAACATCCTAATTACTAAAAGTATTTTTATTTTGTTTTACAATATCATCGGCCCAAGGGGCGAGTGCTGTTATTGCTTCCGCTAAAAATAGAGAAAACTACACAGTTAAGTTTAATAACATTTAACACAAACATTAATATTACAACTTACTACCTGTAAAGTTACGTCTTTGAAACCACCACTATTGCGTTGTTGCACCTTACGTGCATGTCAAGATAATGCATTTATAGATTCCGCACTGTTGGACGACATAAGATTGTATCAGTTGCCTCTAAAATATGCCCTAGACCAAGTTTCAGGATTTATACTTTGTAAGTATTCTCATACTGGTTCTTTTGTCTTTTTTCATAAGGTCCATGACAACATTATCCCAAAAAATTCCTTTAACTGTCTTACTTTTCCCGTATCTAGCTACTATGTTGAAATACAAATGGACACCACATATTCGGTGATGAGCGTGAGGAAAAATGTTGGCAACAAATGTCGCTATAGATGGTAACCTATCATATATAATTGTAAGATCCTCCATATTGCCTATGCAATCACGTAGTTTTTGAAAAAACCATGTCCAAGAACCTGTACACTCATTTTTGCATATAATATATGAAACCGGTAATATTTGGTTTTGTCCGTCCTTAGTAACCAAGTAACATGGTTCCTTTGAACTCGCCCTTTAGGTGAGCTCCATCTACTACAAGGTTCGACTTACAACAATTGACAAAAGCGCGTACCTACAATACATTGTATATCTATTCAAATACACTGTTTATAGTTAGGTACACCAAAATAAAATAAATAATAAAATATAGTAATACTAACCGAGCAACCAAGTGCGACATACAAGAACTCAAAGCGATCATCACCGTCTGTTTGAATATGTGTCACCGTGACGGGATTATGTTTGACCAAATTGTGGAAATAAGCCGAAAGTTTGGTAAAAGAATCCTCTTTCGTACCCCTTAACAACAACAGTGCATATTGCTTCGCACGCCAAGACTGATGGTATGAGATACTGATTTTCAATTGAACATTCATATCATTAATAATATCTTGTCCCCGATATACTCTACTATAATCTTCAGCCAAAACATCAGCAAGATATTCACCCAAACATGTTTGTTTGCTTGTCGATGATTAGGTTGCAACATTGTTGAAGAACATGTGTGTACGTTAACAAATTTATTCACTTGGAAAAGTCCGCTAGAATTTTTAATTCCTTTTGCTCTTAATAACCAAGAACAATTTTTCCCAACACACACAACCTCATACCTTGATTTGGTCGATCTAATTGTCTTCTTTTGAAAACCTTATTGAAGACATTTTTTCCCAATCGCCCGTTTTAGAAGATATTTGTTCTTAAATATACGGAGACATTCAATCTTTTGATTGACGTCTACCATCTGTGATGGGATATCTTCATTAACATCAACTGGACATGCTAATATATGGGGCATACAGTGAAAAAGGTTATTGGGAAACCTAGCTTTACGTTCATCACCCAACTCATCTTCATCAGAATTGCTTTCTAAGTCGGTTATATCTAAAGCTACATCAACAACATCAACAAAATCCCCGTAACCATGTATATTTTCATCTTTCTAAATCATAAATTTTTTCTTTTTAATATGATCTACTCCACCTCTATTCATAACTTTAACTTCTTGTTGGGGAACGTCAACATAACAATCACCCACGCCATTAAGATATGTACCAACATCATCATCACCAACGTACTTGTAATTTTCAGGATCCACATAGTGAATAGGTGAATACCCCACATTAACATTTCAAACAACACTATGAAATTGAGGTACACTCATGAAAGGACCTATTGGATTTTTACTCCCTTTATCGCTGCATAAGTTAGCAACCGACTCATTTCCACTATCGCCACCCTCCGTAACCGCTCACCTTCATCAGCCACCACAAAGACTTTCACAGCCCTTCTTCCAATTGATTTTATTACTTTGATCAACATTCTAACATCCATGTATTCAATTATGGCTATATAATGATAATTCAAGATGATGGAAATGAAGACTAATTTTATATCTGTCTAACAAACCGGTTTTCATTTCACCAAAGATATAAAATCACTATAACTAATATACTCGGAAAATATCAAAGCGAATTCAGAAATACCTCCCTGTAGACATACATATTCAAGATTTGTTTCCACAACTTTCCACCTCCAACCAGTTACAATGCAAACCAAATATTCATTCATTTTATTAAAGATGTTTTAAACAAATTTTCCAAAGAAATAACAACTAAAGTGATAATTTTTTACAAAATTTTATATATAATATGATTGTTTCATAGTCAAACTCTATCAATTTCGTAGTAAAAAAATATATATTTTGTCCAAAATCGCAGGTAGATGGCAGAGGAAATCGTAGATGAACTTAATTTATCTGCGATTTTAGTGTGAGGTTGCAGGTATTTATACGGGAAAAAATGAAAAAACTAAAAAAAAACCCACCTACGAACGTACAAGTCACTAAAGAATACCCATACTTTAGCGACTTATATGTACGCAGATAGAAATGTGAAATCGCAATTTTAATGGCTATTTTTGTAATTTTTTTTTTGCTATTTTCTACAAAATAATTAACAAAAATGACTAATTTTATATATATTTATTTTTGTTATTTTGTTATTTTTTTAATAATGTTATAACATATAGGTAACTTGCTGTTGTGTCTAGCAATTAAGGGTTATTTCCATAAAAGACCCTACATTTTGATTTTTTTTCTTTTTAGACCTAAAAGTTTTTTCTTTTCCGAAAAAGACCAAACTTTTACCTTTTACTTGTTACTTTAGACCCTAATAGGTAAATTAAGTATTTTTATTTCATAAAAGACCCAACATTTTGTATTTTTTTCCAGTTTAGACCTAAAATGTTTTTTATTTCAAGACTAGTTGTATAAAAAACGTGATTATATCCTTTTAGTTTAAAAATATACATCGATTTAAACAATATAATTATTATGCCTACATTTATTTATGATTGTAAAATTCTTTGTCCATGTATATTTATAAAAAAGACCCTATATTTGTAGTTTTTTCCGTTTAGACCTAAAATGTTTTTTTTTTTCAAAATAAACTCACTTTAAATTGGTTTAATCTTCAAGACCAAATATATAAGGTACTTTTTTATTACGCCGAAAAAGAAGTACACATGTATACACTAAAAAATATTATCTGATCTATTATCTTTTGAACGAAATATAACCTAGAAGAATTGCAAAATTTTATTTTTTGTCTAAAAAGATATATCTTGGATATATATTATATCATTAAACTTGATATATTATTTATAAAAATGTTATTATTACTGCTAATAAAAAGTTCGATGTTAATTTGATATTTTTTTGTAACATGGATAATACATGGCTAGGAAGAATCTTTTAGCATAATAACATTTTTTTTTATTTGTAGGAAATAAACATACCAGGTAATTTAACAAAACTGTATACAAAATATTTTTTTAGTTTGTCTATTATACTTATTTCGTGAGTTTGGACATATTTCCCTCTCTCACTTTTCTATATTATTTTTTTGGTTGAATTTTTTAATCAATTTTTTTGGAACAGTTAACAAACGAACTAACTATCATACTCCTAAACCAAAGCCATAGAATATTTTGTAGCATTAGCCCGTTATTGAATAATATGGTATAACTATATCAAATACATACATAAAAATATTAAATCCTAAACATTCATAATAGAGTTTGTTTAGATATATAAATTCAAGTTTTGTTTAAAATTGCAAAATCTTTTTTGTATACAGTTTATTAAATTACATGGTATGTTGTTTTTTTCTACAAATAAAAAAGGTTGTTATTATGCTAAAAGATTCATCTTAGCCATGTATTGTCTATGTTACCAAAAAACATCAAATTAACATCGAACTTTTATTAGCGGTAATAATAACATTTTTTATAAACAATATATCAAGTTTAATGATATAATATATATTATATATATATATATATATATATATATAGATATATATATATATATATATATATATATATATATATATATATCCAAGATAAAGTTTAATTATATCTTTTAGAAAAAATAAAATTTTGAAATTCTTCTAGGTTATCTTCGCTCAAAAGATAATAGATCAGATCACATTTTTTGTGTATACATGTATACGTTCTTTTTCAGTATAGTCAAAAAGTACCTTATATATTTGGTCTTGAAGATTATAACCAATTTTAAAGTTGAGTTTATTTAAAAAAAAAAACATTTTAGGTCTAAAATGGAAAAAAGTAACAAAATATAGGGTCTTTTTTTTATAAATATACGTGGAAAAAGAATTTTCCAATCATAAATAAATGTAGGCATAATAATTACATTGTTTAAATCGATGTCTATTTTTAAACTAAAAGGATATAATCATGTTTTTATACAATTAGTCTTGAAATAAAAAACATTTTAGGTCTAGATTGGAAAAAAGTATAAAATATAGGGTCTTTTATGAAATAAAAATACTTAATTTACTTGTTAGGGTCTAAAATAACAAGTCAAAGCTAAAAGTTAGGTCTTTTTCGGAAAAGAAAAAAGTTTTAGGTCTAAAAAGAAAAAAAATCAAAATATAGGGTCTTTTATGAAAATAACCCAGCAATTAACGTTGCCTAAATGTGATTTAAGCAAACATCAGAAAAAGTAAGAGGGGAAGAAACAAAATTCGTCTTTGATTACGCCGCTCATCTGTCGAATATTTCAAACGTGTTTGCTAACAAGACAAGAACCTCGATCAACCCACCTTGGTGAATCATGGTCATCAATTGTCTCTTCCAAACAACCAATTTGGATTCCATCCAAAACTGAAAAAATGGCTACAGCAGCATTCAAATCGAACTCTAGAAGAAGCAACGCCTATAGAGGAGTAGATTCCCCCAAAACCGAACCTCCTAACCCTAATCCTCTACCTCAAAAACAAAGATTACGAAGGTCTTTAAGCGTCAACGCTGTCTCCCGATCCACACAAATCGACATATCTGAATTCTTGAACAAAAGAGACAATCCTCTTTACTGGGCAACCGGCGGTTCCCCTGCTGACAACCCTCAAACCCCGACACCGATTGATGTTGCAGGTGGTGGTGCCATAGAAATAGAATCGTCTGGAGTTTCAAAGAGTTCGAATGCGGTGGGGGGTGAGAGAGGTCGGTCAGTTAAAAGGAATTCAGATTTGAGAAATGGTGGTCAAAAGGAGGAGATTGGTGGTCGCCGGAGGAGTTTATCTAGGGTGAACGATAATGGCAGCGGCAATGGCAGGCGGGGCCGGTCAGTTTCCAGGGCCAAACTACCTTTTGGTGCTTCTGAGGTTTGGAAAACTTCTGTTACTTCATCAATTAAACTCCATTTTCGCTTATATCATCTACATTAGCTGTTATTGCTTAATTGTTCTTAACTGTGTCATTAAGAACAATTATCAATGATTTCTTCAACTTATGGTTACTTTATTTTCTTTCAAAATAGAGTGAAGTTGAACAAGAATCAAGAATACCAATCACATATGGAGGCAGAAGTAGTTCTATTCGGACATCTAGTAGTAATGGAAAGCTTCCTGTTAATGGTGTCAAAGCATTTGAGAAGAGGAGTTCCCATCCATCCCGCCACCCTTCAGTTAGGCCACGTTTCTTCTTTCTCCATTGGATAAACGATTCTTAAAAATACATTTAAATAAAGGGTTAAAACTGTGTAGATTTTTCAAAATACACTGCCCTTTGGGTTTGGAAATGCATTGTTGTAATAGAAAAAGATAAAAGCAGGATGCTATAATAACCAGTAAAAGAAAGTACATTGCAATTATCCTAAAAATAAATGAGGAGAATTTGTAAATAGATAGGACTTAATGGGGGAATGTCTCATTTGCTTATATTTATAGTTTGATTCACAAGTCCCAAACTGGGAAGATGGAATCTCTACCAGCTCTTTATCTGAAGCCGAAGAGAAAACAATTAAAGCTGTCTATGAACAGATGAAGGTCAGATATTTTGTTCAATACTGAGAAGGGCATTTACGTCTTTTGCACAAATGAGAGTTTGAAAAGTAGTTCTTTGGTTCATCTTTTTTGGCTGCAGTCATTTGAAGGGGATAACTCAAGAGAAGACACTACATCAACATCAAGTGAAATATATGAAACTGTGAGATCTGAAGTGAGAAGGGCTATTGCTGATATACAAGATGACCTTCAACATGTGAGTTCTTAAACCTATTATTAATTCACAAAACATAAGTATGCAATAATTAAGCTTTTAATACCACATAAACGTCACCTTTTACAGTTTATGCAATAAAGTTATATTCAATATGCAAAAGACGTAAACGCCCTCCCAAAATTTGCCTTTTTTTTTATGACTTCAGGCCATCAGGAGGAACAATACGGGTGCACTTGTGAGTACAGATGTTATGGATATATCTCCCAAGTTGGTCAAAACGGGGGCTGTTGACTTAGTGTTGGACATAAGAAGGGAATATGCCAAAGAACTTGAAGAGGTGATATTTTATTATTTTTATATTCCACTTTAGGGCTATGAAATATGATAACCAAAGTTTGGTGATTAATTGGATTGATATTAATTCTTAACTAAAGTGGAAACCTTCAACAAATTTGTGTGAAAATCTATAAACTTTGGTTATATATTAGGTTGAAAATATAGTGGCTTTTATGTATTTTTCCTTTTTTGGTTATATATTTGTTGATGAAAAGTAATTTTTTATTTTGTTTAAATATGTAGTCACAAGAACGTGCTAGAAAACTTCGATCAGATTTAGCCATTGAGGAACATCGCAAGCAAGAATTAAGCAGAATTCTCAAGGAGACACTTCCGGAACCCAAGACATCTGTTTCTCATAGATCACGTGTAGGAAGAAAAGTATGTAATTTTCATCATTTTAGACAACATATTTATTCTTTTGATTGATTTGTTTATTACAACATTCTATTTTGAAAAATCTACCCCGATTATAACAATGTCATCGATATACAAAACAATTTTCATTGCTATAATCAGGTAGATTCTTCAAAGTACAATCTCTCAATAAGGAAAAAGTTGAAAGCATAATATGCTATAATTGGTTAGATATTCCAAAGTATAATGTTAGCTTTTTTTTTTTCATAATTATTTTGTGTATATCATCTGGTTTTGATGTTAGCGTTGTATTTTAATATTTTATTACAGAGTAGCAATGAAAGAAAAAAGATGTCAAAACGTTTGACGGATGAAGCAATGTCATATTTTGACGAGTGTGTTTCAATATCAACATTTGATAGTTCAGATTTCTCAGCAGCAGAAGATCCATCTGTCAACTCAACAATGGGTCCCACAACATCCCTTCCCCATAACACCATTGAACCAAAGGTAAAATATGCACCACATGAACTTTTACATGTGAAATTTAAATATTTTTCCTTTTTTTAATCGTTTTTATAAATCAAACAAAATACTAAATTGTGTTCCTCAGATGATTCAGAGGGACCCAGGATCCGGTTCAATGGCGGATAGTGAAGTACTTGAAACCACGGATACTCGAGAATGGGATGGGAAATTTCGCTTCTCGTTTGGTCAAAAGTCAACTGAGAGCATTGACATGAAACATGATATAAAAAATTACATCAAAACTTTTGAAAAAGATACGGATCTAAATTCAAAAAGTTGTAGAACTAATTGCAATGTAGACGCGTATGAATATGGTCAACTTGAGGTCAACGAGAGGTTGTTGTTTGACAAGGTTTTGTTTAAAACCCGACAAGCGTCCGGGAGTTTGCATATTTGTGGTGGAGTCGGTGTTCCGTTTTTACCATTTTCTCATCTTTTTTGAAGATTGTAGATATTTAATTGTAGGGGTTTTGGCTTTTCCTCGTGTTTATATCGATAGATTTTATTCGTTAGGGCATTGTGGACAGTTGTATACAATATGAGAAAATTTTAACATGGTACACAGTTTTTCTTCTTTTCTTTGGTCTTTATGGTGGTTTTAGTAGGGTTTCAAAATGACATTGTTTATGGTACTACGTAATATATAAAAGAAAATTATAGTGGGGTTAAAGTTTGACAAGAAGCATTTGATTATAAAGGTGAGAATTAGGTTCGAGGGAGTGGTGCCGCACTCCCTCATGAAACCGCAGTTACACGTAGGTGCCACCTCACCTATTACTACAAAAGTGTGGTTTCATACCATACCGAAGGAGTGATGCCACACTTGAGTATTTTCTTTTATTTTTTTAATAAATAAAAGGGACCAAAGGGAGGTAAGAAAAAAAGAACCAATTACATTGTTTGAAGGGGTGCTCACTTGGAAGGCTGCACTGTACTCTCTACTGCACCCAGCGGGCGGTGTTTGTGCTTATGTGGCAAGGGGAGTGCGGTCCAAGCCGCACCCACTCCTTCTAGTCTTAGGACCAAGTTACAGCAAACACTAACATACAAATGGCTGGAAATTGAGTAATCTGATCACAACTTCTGTAGTTACAAAACCTCTCTTATTTATTATTATTATTATTATTATTATTATTATTTTTAAATAAATTTATGAAAACTAACCATTTGGTCTGAAATAGATCATTTTGGACCAGAATAAACAACCCAAGCCAAATACTATAGCCCAATGCTAAATATACAATAATCCTAAATACGTGTTCTGGATTTTGAAGTTCGTTTTCCTTGTATTTTGAACTTAGTTTTCAGCATGGATTCGTTAAACCAAGTGAATTCTATTTTTTAAGTTACTTGCATTTGAGTTTACAAACAAATATACGTATCCCGAAATGCGTTGAACAGTCCGGAATACGATGAACCGGAATGTCGATTTTTTATATGTGTTTATTATTATTATTATTATTATTATTATTATTATTATTTTGTTGTTCTTGTTGTACATATATTAGGTGCATTTAAGTATCTTAGAGTGTGTTTATGACAATTTTTTTTAGTCAAGAACTATGTGTGTTTTCTAGAAAATATGGAATGATCATGTAGGTCCGGAATACAAAGAACTTAATCCGAAATACGAAGAACTTAATCAGGAATGATGTTCCGGAATGACAAGCCGGAATGAAAATTGATTTTTTTGGTGTCTGAATTTGCATGGATGTTGTTAAAAGAAGTGAACTTTACGGACGAAGACGTTGTATTTCATTTACACGAGCTTTCAAAATTGCGCCCGATAAAGGTAAAAACGATTAAAATTTTGTTAGAAGTGATGGTTTTATGGTTATAGATTAAAATATTGTTGAAATTTTGTTTTTGCGGACAACAAACCAGGATGCTGATTTAGAAATTAAAATAAAAAATAAACCAACATAGACACCTATAAAATTAAAAAAGAAATCGGAAAGGGTGTTAAAGCTTAAATTGAAAGCAGATAAAACTCCGAAAGATGGGTCTTGAGAACTCCAAAAGATGGGTCTTGAGAACTCCGAAAGGTGGGTCTGGAGCAAGTTCAGACAAACCTTTTATTAAAGACTAGTTGGATATGAAGTTACTTTACACTGAGAGATTTAAAAGAGATGTAGATCACTAGTGTAAATGAATGTAATTCTGTTTATGCTTATGTTTCTGTATTGACGATGACATCCCAAATGTTTTAAAATGAATAAAAATACATTTCTTCGGAAATGATTTGATAACGTATTTATCATGTTTTTCTAGGAACAAATTCCGCAAGATTTTTATTAAAAGAAGTACTCTGATTTTTATAAAGCATAAACAAAATCGGTCTTTTCTGGCCGTGAAAATGGGGATGTCACAATGGGTGCCTCGACACTTGATTTTGAACTTGAGGTCTGCTGTCGAGATGACTTTGACCTAGCCGGTTTTGGTTTTGTTGGAGCATTTCTTGAAATTGGCTTCTGGGCTGGCATTCCCTTCTTGCCCTTGGGAGTTGATTTCTTGGCCTTTTGCGCGTTCCAGTCGCCATTGTCTGAACATGGCCTCAAAGGGTTTCTTTTCAAAGATCTCCCTCTTGGCGCGTTCTGTCAGCCTTGTGCGTAGTAGGGAACGTATGCACGATTTGGACAATTTCTGGCAATGTATCAGGTGTTCCACAGTGAAAGCAAGTCTTTTTCTTCACTGGGAAGTTGTTTCTTCCTGCCCCTGGTGGCGTATCCTTGCCTTGTTCCTGGTTGTTCCCACATGCACACTTGCAGCAGGCTGGCTGTTTCACTTGATTTGGTGGCCTGTATTTCTCAACAGCAGGTTGATCAGAAGCAAATGAGTTCGAAGCAACAGATTCAGAGTTCAAAGAGACATTGGCTTGATAATCATCAGAATTTGCAGAACTAGAATTAGTTCTATTCTCCTTGTCCTCATCCTCTACTACTTTACCTGCACAAGAAGTAGAAGCATTAGAATCGTTCAACTCAACACTTTCTGGCATAACCACGACAGCATTATCAAAGATATCATCAAATATATCGAAAAAATTTGAGTCATCATACTTTGATACAATTTTATTATCAGACACACTCTCTTCAGCTGCTTGCTTTGATTGACTTAAAGATTGATCTGCATGGGAAGGAGAAACATTAGTATTTTCAACATTAATACTACCTCCTGACACAAATCCATATTTAAGAAATGGCTCTCTGTCCATCTCTTCTTCAGTCAAAGGGTTATACTGATAGGTGTGATTAAAAGGAGGAGGCACTTTATCATACCCTAAACCCTTTTGCTGGTTATTTTTAAATCTCAAACTATTTTCCATCACTGACGCAACTACTTCACTTGACACATCAAATTTTCTGAAATTAAAATCTGCATTTTCAAACTTATTTTTCAATGTGTCAAGTTCAACAGTTAACTCAACAAGTTGTTCTGTCACATATCTATAGTTTGCACATTTATTGCTATATTCTTCTTGTAGTTTTTGGAAGTCCTTGGTTTTGGTCTCTAATTGTTCTTTTAGTGGTTTCTGTGCCTTCCTAAGTTGATATCCATTGTACTTTAGGTTCTCATTTTCCCTTTTTAGTAACTCAATTTGTTCATGAAGAAATTTAATAGTAGTTTCACAAGATTGAGAACATGAAACTTCAGTGACTGGGATGTTTGAGGAACTCATTTTTATAAAAATATGCCCTTTGACTAAAAACTTAAAAGTCAAACTTAAAAAGCCAAACTTAAAAGTCAAACCGAAAAGCTAAAATTGAAAATTTAAAGGTTAAACGAGAAAGTCAAAGTTTAAAGTCAAAGGTCAAACTTGAAAGTCAAAGTCAAAATTTTAAGTCAAAAGTCAAAAATAAAAGTCAAAAATTATAAACTAAAATTTTTGGGTTGAAAATGGAATTTAAAAATAAAAAGAAATTGATTTTTGGGCTAAAAGTGACAATATTGCGAAAATAAAGAAGTGCAGATACGATATTTCAATTAAGAAGCGAAGGGATATAACATCTAGCAAGCTAGATGAGTTGGTAAGGCATGTGTTTGATCAATCAAGGGACCCGGGTTCGATCCCCGACACCCTCAATTTCACTTCCCCCTTTTTTTAATAAGATGTTGCGAGGATGCTGAGATGCGAGGATGAGAACGAAGCAAAGCGAGGCTGACTACGGTTTTCTAGGCGAGGACCGCAAACCCCGACTGTACACGTGCGATGCTGCTGAGCCGTAAACTCCGACCGTAAACTTCGAGGCGAGGCTGGCCGTGAACCTCGGACCGTAAACTCCGAGGGCCGTGAACTGTTTACGGCCGTAAACTCTTCGAAGAAAAAACCCCCTTATTTTGCAAGATCTATCCAAAAACGCAGAAATCCTTCAAAAATAAGATCAAATACGCTCCAGATCTGCAAAAACTGATTGATACAATCCAAGCTCTGATACCAACTGTAAGGCCCCAATCTGCTTGTGTATCAATCAGATCTGTTTGATGGTGCGAAATCCCAATCAAACGGATGATGCCAGATCAAAATAGAAGAGAAGAAGAAGAACAAGTGAATCTATGATGTATTCAATGAATAGAATGATGCTCCATACACATAGTACACACACTAGCTCTTCTCTCTAGTTTCTTTCTCTAGAACACCTTGGGTTTCACACACTTAAGCTCATTAGCCGTACACTCCTATCCTTACACTCTCTATGCTCACACTCCTCACCCTATATATAAGATAGTTGGTCGTGAATGGGTTTACGGCCGTAAACCTGTTCACGACCGTAAACACGACCGTAAACACACATACAACCGTAAACACCAAGCTGTTTACGGTCCTAGACTGAAAAATATATTTTCCTAGAAAAGTAAAGTATAAACCAATATTTTATATAAGATAGTTGGCCGTGAATGGGTTTACGGTCGTAAACCTGTTCACGGCCGTAAACACGACCGTAAACACACATACAACCGTAAACACCAAGTTGTTTACAGTCTTAGACTGAAAAATATATTTTCCTAGAAAAGTAAAGTATAAACCAATATTTTAGACCCAACAATCTCCCCCCTTGGTTTATAGCTTTCTTTTCTAATTGACCCAACAAACTCCCCCTACACAGTAGCTGACTTTTCTTGTTAATCTTCATTGGGAACTTGGCTTCAACATTTATCTTCGAATTCTTCACAACTTCAAGATGAACTTGATGAACCTTCAATGAATGACTTCATCTTGAGCAGTTGGGTTTTTCTTCAGGATTTGGCTTTGAACGCACGTTGGGTGAGGAGGCTTCTTGATACGATTCTTGAAAGATAACGCTTTCAGCTTGAGAATCTTCAGAGAGAATAGAGAACGAAACTTCTGGATCACTTTAGCAGGTACAAGATAGCAGCAAATTGATTGAGGAGGCTTCAATGCAATCTGTCACATAATCTTTAATTACAGCTTGACCTTGCTTCTGGGGTTGAGGATTGAATGTTGAAAGAATAATCTTCATTTCTTGCTCCTTAGAATGAGAATTCTTCGATGATCACGGATGAAGCCTTGGCTCAGAAAATATCGATACAGTCTCCATGAGTCTCATCCACATCTGA